TTTTAGTAACTGTTTTTATGTTCATACATTTTTTAATTGTACATATATAAAAACTTAACTATTAACACTCTGATGTTCATAAGTAATACATTGTAGTTTGTTTTTTTTTTAAGTTTAACTAGAACTTTTACTCAAACAAATAAGATATGATAGCTTTCAAATAACTCATGTTCTTTGGCCCTTCTCCAAAGAGAATCCTTTGCGTTTAGGAAATCGCTTGTTGTGATTTAATTCTCAGCATATCTTCAAAATAGAAATAAAATGTGTAATGTTTTAATGAAAATTTTACACTTGTGTACTCTAGCTCAGAATCAGACAATCTGAAGGTGCCACACTTTTTTTTTTTTTTCTGAAAATGTAGAGCTAACCAACAGGAAGCATCTTAAAAGCAGTTTAATTTAGGCTCTCAGCCTGGTTCTTAGTCAGAATGAGATACCCGTAATTCCTTACAGCATCATACAGTCAATTAAATTGGAAAATACCATTAAGACCATTGAGTTCAACTGTATCAGAATCATTAAGGTTGGAAAAGACCCTTAAGATCATCAAGACCTTAACAGGATCTTCCAGATGCCCGTAAGAGATTTAGATGATAACAGGACCCTCTTATTTAAAGCTTTCACAGTTATCCAATTTTAAACTATATTTTAATTTATTTTCTGTTCAGACTCGTAAACCAGCCAGCTCAATGCAATATGTGAGCTCCTTTCAGATGTCCTTTAAGCAATATACTTAGCACTTTACACAATTGCTTAGCCTGTCATGCTGCCCATGCTCAGTTAGACCTCCTATGTGAGAGCCTGGGCCTGTGGTGAGGAAAGTGAATAAAGACAGCAGCTGAGACAGGTGACTTTTGAGGGATCTGGAATGGGCATGTGGTGGGTCCAGGTGAGTCCTGCTGCCAAGCAATGGAGTAAATTGACTGGCAGATAGTCTGTAGGAATTAATTTGTGGTCTATATTTTGTATTGCCTTCATGCAGACCACTCTAGAAAACGAGACCATGTTATGCTGTAGATGTGTTATTAACAGAGTAAAATTTCCCTGGTTATACAAAAATGTATCATTAAAATGAACAGATTTTGTCTAAACTTCAGGTATCCAGTGTAGGTCGCTGTTTTAGGAGGTGATATCCCCACAGAGTCAGTGCATAGAGCTGGGATTTTCCAGATGTCCGTTCTGAACATCTCAGTCAGAGCCTGCCTTAGCCTCTTGACTACAGAAGGAGCACAAATTTAGTTTGAGCATCTTGGCACATTGTAATGGTCTGAAACACTGGACATGGCTGTTAAAAAAACAACTCCTGAGAGAGACTCCTATGATAATCTTGTCTTTCTTTTCCCTATCCTGCACTGGTCTCTTCTAAGGGATATTCCTACAGGAGATTCTGCAGTGTGTCATGCCTCAGCATTCTCGTTTCCAGTTTAGACAAAGTGTTGTTTCCTTTAATGGTAAAGAAATACAGTTGCTTGCCAATAAGGAAATAGCTGTTTTGTTGAAGTTAGTTCAATAGTGTACTTATTTCTAGGCAACGCATTTGAAGTGGTCAAATAAAAACTTGCAATTCCATACTTCAGTACAGAGAGGTCAAGATCTGGAATATATTGCTTTACAGTAACAAACAAAATCCTCATTTGTTCCTGTACTAGACAAACTGGCCTAGTACTAGGAAAAAATATACTCTAAGTAGGCAATATGGCTTCATAAAGAGAATACTATGGAAAAAAAATCTCTTGATGATAGTTTAATTTTCTTTTTTGGCATATATAAGTGAGTAATATGACTATGATCTAGTAATGATAAGTGGGTGGATCCATTGAAAGTCTGAGAAGTTTAGTCTATGTATTGTTTCATAGGAAAACAAAAGAATTATGAATGTAGTGTTGAATAAAAAAGATCTTTTTAAAATTCTGTAGTACAACATAATAATTTAAGAAGGATATCATGTGCTGGGCACACTGGTGTCAAAAGCCATATTCAGACTGGCAATCACAGAAATTTTTCTGCATTTGAAATGCAGCTTGTAGCAGTGTCTCCATTCCACATCACAGTCATGCTCAGAAGCAGTTCACGTTTCTTAGTGAAAGAAATCATGTGTGTACTCATCAAAAATGATACCAAATCTGCAGGCAATCAAGAAAATAGTTAATAAAATATTAGCTTGTAAATCAAAGGCATTCTTATCATCTATAGAACAAAAATACTAGTCTCTGCCTGGTTTGCAATTTCTAATCTGGTTTGTGATACCTGTTAGCAAGAGATAATGAGAGGAGCTTGCTATTTCAGTATTCCTTCAAAGTGAAGATGATTCAATTAAGCTATTAAGGAAAAATATGGGGTTTTTTTCAAACTTCTTTCACTCAAGGTGTGCAGTGGGTGGATGGGTGGCTGCATGCACTGAAATGGTGAAAGCTATGAATTTTGAATGTATATATTACTTTGATTTTTTTTCTTTCATCTGTATTGATGTCAAATTGAATGCTTCCTTCTGTGGAGCAGCATATTGCCTGCAAGTTACTCCTTTAACAACCCTGAAAAAATACAGGTGGCTTCATACTGTAATCCTGCAAGAACACAGCCCATTAAGTTGATGTGAGATGAATAAAAAAAAAAATGAGGTAATTTTTTAAAAAAACTAACTTCTTTGATGAACATTAAGGAGGAAATAATGTATACTATTCAACTTCTTGGCATCAAGCTAGGAAATCATGTTTAGCATTAATTAAAACTTATGTAACATCTTTCATTTGAAAAAAAAAAAGTGTATTAGAAATACTTATTTCTTAGATCTCACATCTCTGAGATAAATATTTTCCACATTTTCTGATTGAATGTGCATTGCTTTGCAGGAGAGTAGCAAAGCTAGGCAGGAAACCAGTAATGCTACCTTCTAGTTTTGTATTTTAGCAGACAAAGCGTTATCCTGAGCTTCAAATTACTCACCAGATGTTTAAGATGGAGTAGATGTAGTTCTGCAACTCTGTGTAGTTCCTCAGTTAACTCGCAATAAAACCGAGTGGCTTTATCATCCTGAATATCCCCTCAGAAACAAGGTCCTTTAGCCCAGTTCTATTGTACAGTCTAGACAGAAATTTTGAGTTCAGTTCACATACTTCCACAGATTTTTCTAACTCACACAAGGTAGCACTGATCTCTGGTCCAATTCTGCTCCTCCTGAACGCGGGTTTACATTTAGTGTAGTGATGAGGTGATTAGTTGATACAGTACTGAGTGGTTTTGAAAATCCACTTCTTTTTCCTCTGTTTCTAAATCCTGATAAATTTATGATAAAAATTTTAATGTACATTGTAAGTTTCTCTAAGAAGGGACTTCTCTTTACCAAATATTCAGAATATATATTGCTCCAATCGTGACTGGAGGTATGAAACACTACTCTGGTACAAATAATAACCAGTCCATCACATTTTTATTGCATTAGTTTAATCAATGCAACTATTTTCACTTATTCCATTGGTTCACAGTATATATTCATATGCATCAGTTATTTATCAGTTCTTTCTGATTTATCTTTTTATGTGTCATTTCAGTGATTGTGAGCATTTTATTGCATTAATTAATTTACTTGCATTAGAAATTATAACACTTCATGGAACTGCATTCTCTTGCTACAGAAAATCCTGGTCATTTTATCTATTTCTTTTTGTATCCTGTGTCCCAGTTCCCTATGTTAATCTGTTTCACTTTGCTTCTGACTGTGTTGTAAGTGACTAATAATTTAAGAGCTATTATTAGAGCTCACCACACTGTTAGTCAATGTCACATTGTAATTTAAGGTAGTGTGAAACTATCTTAGGATATTTTCCTGAAAGCTGTGAAAAGTTATAAGTAGTAACCATATTGATGTTTCAGTCATTTATGAAAACTTATTTACTTGAATAACTGCTAGGTATTAAGAAAAATCTACAAAGGCCATTTAATTTAATGTTATATACAAATTGCAAAGCAATTTGGAAATAGGTGTTACAGTTTCATGACTTAGGCTCCCATGTACAATAATTACAGAAGTAAGAAAATAGACCTAGTAGAAATACAGTCTAATCAGATATAAACTGTTTTTCCTCCCTGAGTGAAAACTTCACTCAGGGATTATATGTGCTAGACTATACTGTCCTGCTGTGGACTTAATTCAATCAAATACACTTATTATATCCACTGTGAAAGTACTTTTGCACCCAAACCAACAATTTAGGGTGCTATTCCTGTAAGCACTGAACAATCAGGTCACAGTCCATATACAAGAGACCTGTTAATACAGAGCTAATACAGGCAAAGAGAAAAACAAAGCAGCAGTATAAATCATTGCAAAACAGCTTTAAATGAAGAGCTCAGGAACATGTAGCTGCATGGCTTTAAGGTGTTGCTGCTTTCAACTGTACACTGGCCATAACTGTCCTGATAGCGGAGGCAACAGATCAGGTTGTGTGCCTGTGTCTGCATTTTCATTCTTGAATCCACTTGTTCCTTACCACAAGGACACCTACTTTGCACTTAGGTGAAAAGATTATTTCCAGGGAAGGACTGAGGTCACCGGCCAGCTGAGGGTGAGTACTGGTGTACCTGTCAGCCAAGTACTCACACTATTGACCTAATTTGCATTAGTAAAGCTGCCTGTTTACAACCAAGTTTGTTCCAGCTCAACTTGGAAAAAAAAAAAGCTGTATTAACAAAAAATTGCCTGTCTCTATAATTTCTTGCAATTTTCTGCAAATTACATTGGTTTTAAGCAATACTTTGTCACATCCTCAACTCCCTGAATGGCATTTCTAAGCTAGCAAACACAGTTTGTGTTTACAACCATGGCCTTTATGTTTTCAGAATATGTGGAGTGACAATCCTTTTAACTCCATTAATGATTTGCACATTTTCTTGGGATGTTTATTTTCACTTGTCCATTGTGCATGTGACAATTACTTGATATGAATGGAAAGCACTTTTAGAAATGTCTTGCATATGTTATTTGAAGTCTCCGAAATTTTTCAGGTTAATTGCCCAGATTCATGATGAGCTGTTGTTTGAAGTAGAAGATTCGCAAATCCAGGAGTTTTCAGGTAAATACAATCTCTCTTGCTCTTTCTCCTGTACCCCTTTTTTTTCTCCCTTTCACCTGTGATTTCTCAGAGGCTAAAGCATTAGAGTAACAAGAAGCAGCACATTAATTCCCATGATTAAGAAAATGTATACCAAACAGATTTTTCTGAATGTTTTCCACAACTGGTTCTTATGTACATAAAACATTATATACTCCTCATTGGGAGTTCATCAGCATGCTTATTTGTATTTAGTTTCCTTATCAAGATTCCTTCATCCAGTGTGTGAATCCTGTGAAGCTAATTAGTAATACTTTCTCCAACATTTCAAAGGGTTTTAGGGGAAAATAAACGAGTTTAAAAAGAATGACTTGGAAAGTAACTTCCTAAATTCTTATCACTGGTGCCTGTTATGTAAAGAAGTATGACATTCTAAATGTTATAATGTACTGTAATTTCTAAGTTAGTTTACTACTTTTATGTTATGAGAACTTTATGATGGAACTCACAAGGTTAAAGGTTAGTAAAAGTTTCCAACTACATTTTTATCCTCTCATCTGGTTTACTTTCAGACATTATTTCCTAAGCCAGAGTTTGTCTCAGCACGTGGTAGAAATTTAGCTAGCAGATGAGGGCACGAAGGAGGCTGTTGGGTGGGTCTCTTTTCCAGTAAACAGTGGATTTACTACTCTAGGGACCAATTTTTTATTTGTGTTTATTCACAAACTTCGGTCTAGTTTGAAGCTCAACAATACCTTTGGCTAAAACAATTAGCATAATGTCAGAAACATTTTAAATGAACCAATAAAAGAAATATCTTCCAATATAACCTAAGCATCTAAGAAAAAATTAATTTTACCTTCCTTTGTTGCATTAATTTAAACAGTACAGTTTGCCTTAGTCTCATTTCATCACTGATCCCTCTTGTGAGTATTAGTTCATAATGAGAGCATTAAAACTCCATCTAATCAAAACAAAGAACCTGGGAAATACTTAAGTTCAATATATTAGGGTCATTATAATGAATTAGGTTAATGTACTAACATTTGACCTCTCAGTGCAGGAGTTCAAATCTGGTTTAAATTAAAAAAAAACACTATACCATTTGTCAGAGATTGCAGTATCTACGTGGAAAAGGCCAGTGTCTAAAAGTGTCATAGTTTCAGAGTTAGAAAGTGTAGCGTAATGAATATGTAAGACAGGATAGCAGTATTTTTATTATTTTACATCAATTTGCATTAAATATAGAGCTAATATGATACCCAAAAGATAAAATTTATTCATAGTTGCTTAAACATATCAGAAAATCATAGTTTCTGCCCTCATTGGGTCAAATTCTGATCTCCGTTACTAGTATGAATTTGTAGCAAATTCAGCAAAGTCAATACTTTTCCAGTATAGCAAAAAAGGCTCTAGCCATTGTATTAATAACAGTAAGAAGTTATCCTAACTGGGGGCTTTTTTGTGAAAACACAAAAACAGTCCTGTTCCAATACTCTGCAGACTACAGTGTAACTAGTTCACAAGTCTCCATGTCTAGCTGCAGTTTGCAGAACAAACATACCTGTAAATTCCTTATTCTACTTCAGAGCTGTCACTATGAAATTGAAGTTGCTAAAATAACCTTTAGGGAATGGACCTGGGCAGTCTAGAGGTCTGAGATACCTTGGAAGTTGTCTTTGCACTTAACATAAGCTGCCAAGTTTGAGTGTTCAAGATGGAAGTTTGTTTCATTCTGCTTCTGATTGAAGATTGATAATTAAGTTTGTCTCTAATTTGCTCTCAGAGGCAAAGAAAAAAGAAAATTCTACATAACTAACTTTCAGATATACTCATGTCAGAATAGAAGAGTGATAAAATATCTTTAATACTGAAGACTGACCTAGGACATTCATTTCCTTCTTAATTTCTTCATTCATTCATTTCCTTCCCCTTTATTCATCACTTCGAAGGCCATACCTGGAGTCCTGCATCCAGTTTTGGGCTTCCCAATACAAGAGAGACATGGACAGACCAGGGAAAGTCCACCAAAGGGCCACAAGGATGATGAATGAGCTCTGGAGTGTTTCTCCTATGAGGAAAGGCTGAGACATCTGGGACAGTTCAGCCTGAAGAAGAGAAGACTTGAGGATCTTATTAATGTATATACATGCCTGAAGGGAGGGTGCATAGAGAACAGAGACAGGGTTTTTACAGTAGGGCCCAGTAGCAGGACTAGAGACAACAAGCAGAAACTGAAACACAAGGAGGTTCCTTCTGAACATAAGGAAACACTTTTACTGTAAGTGTGATCAAGCACTGGCATGGGTTGCCCAGAGAGGTTGTGGAGTCTCCATCCTTGGAGATATTCAGAAGCCATCTGGACATGATCTGGGGCAAGTGGTTCTAGATGGCCCTGTTGAGAAGTGGGGATGGACGATCTGACCTCCAGAGGTCCCTTGCAATTTCAACCATTCTGTGATTCTGTGTTTTGTGAATAGCTCTGCTGCCAGTAAAAGAACTAATCCAAGTTGTCTTGAAAGTGGCTGAAGCTGGCCCTTCCTTCAGGGTGATTAACGAGGATTTTGCTTGCGGTGAATAGGCAGAGAAAGGGTGCATCTGCACTAGCATGTAACTTCCAGTCAGAAGTATGATGATGAAGCAGATCTCCCTATTGTCCCCAGTCCATGGTTCACATCACAGAGCAGTCTGGGAGCAGCTGACCTACATTCCTTTCTGATGAAACTAAATAGGAACTCTCTCTAATCTTTTCCAATTATTTCAGGAGTTGCTAACTGAGGTAACAAATGAGGTGTGTGAGTTTAAAGCTGAAGGAGTGTCAGTAGGATGTGTGTTCCTAATTTGTTTCAGTGCTTTAAAAGTCCCAATATGATTTTCATCCTTTTACCCTAAGTTCTTTCTTCCTTTTAAGTCCTCACTCTTCTTACATTTATTTGCCACTATTCTTTAGCTGTCAGCTTTGTCTTTACATATCTAATGAGCTTTTGTCCATTCAAAAACTTCAAATTACAAAATCTGCTGACTTGCAGTTTCTAGCCTGCAGTTTAATGATCCAGAGAGAAATCTCAGTTGTACAGTCACAAACTCAGTAAAGGGAAAGATGTGGACTTAAAGCTGAAGTGTAGTGTTTGATGGCTTTAATGGACTACAGTTCAGTGCTGTGTTAGTTCTGCATTTAGTGTGATCCAAGAAGCACTGGCCTACTATTCAGTGTGTTTGCATTCTGATTCCAGTCATGCTTCTGATCTACTTTTTCAGGAAAGCAACAAATATGTGTCTCAGTTTTATTATTTGCAGAATGGCTATGAAAGCTTAAAATACTGTTAAGACTTATAAATGAAGAGAATAAAGGTAAACAGTATTATTTCAATTAGATCATAGCACAGAACATAATCCTCAGCAGCATTTTCCGTATGGAAATGGCTCTTTTGTATTGTTTTACAACATTAAAATGTCTATTTGCTTCTAAGACTCTCCTGAACGGAGGCTGAGAATTGCCACAAGGCAATCGTAATGCTGGTGCTTTCTCTATTCCTGCTTAGGACTTAATAGGCCCCAGTAAGAATTTTCAGTATTTTTCAGTATAGAGAAATGCAATTTATAGTGTACCTAATAATCTATGCTCAACAGATAATTTTAAATCTTTTTAATCTGATAAACAAGGGGAAAGCAATAAAGTGGTTTTTTTTCCCCTAATATCTACTTTTGCCCAAAACACTGCATGTAACTTAAGATAGGTATTATCTGTATTTTAGAAGAATACTTTCTTCAAACAGAATCCATCACCCAGTTTTGTAGTATGCATATGGTTCCCTCTGAATGGACAAGGCAAAACATCATTTATTTATAACAGGCTTTGAGTGTCCAAGCTTTGACGTACTTTGAAATACAATAAAGCACATAGTACTCTGAATTGTGTAATTTTCAGCAAAGATACGGCATATTATTTGCTTCAATTCTCTATTTAGAGCAAGAAAAAGACAGCAAAAGAGCTTTTTAAAAATTCTCATTTTCTATTAGAGGGTGCTTGGAAAGATCAAATCAAAACATTTGGCAGAAACTGCTTTGGTTTTAGCAGAAGGCTGTCAGCTTCACCATCAATAATCTGCCTGGTTTCTAGCCAGCTTGCCTGTCTGGCTTCCTCACATCCTGAGCTCTCCAGCAGCCCAGGAAGCAAGAAAGGCAGATGATATTTTAGGATTGCCAAAAACTGGGCTCTTGGATCTGAGAGGGCTCAGCATCTCTGGGTTCTGAAGTCTGTGTAATCAGGTAGACAGACTGCCCCCAAATCCAGCAGAGCCCAGGGACTCTACAACCAGAGTATGCAGGAATTGCAGAACCCAAGTTTTCATTTTGTGGAGACTATTTCTGAGACTACCTCTCCATGCTTTGTTTGAAATACCCCTTTGCCCTTAGATTATTCTGAATACATTAGTGCTAAAAGGGGGAATGCACTTGGGAGTAAAGAAATGCAGAATTTTCTTCTTCTTTTTTTTTTTTTTTTTTTTTTTTTTTTTTTTTTTTACAGTGCAGGGATACCCATAGTTATAACTGTAAGGTCTGGCTTCTGATATGTATTCTATGCATACCTGGTAGATTTGAAAGGTGAACTTTGCCAATAATGATTACTGTGGATTGTTCCTTGTCACTATGCTTGCTTAATTGCATCCATTAGTGAGAAGCATAATTAAATGAGAGACACTTGGTACTTGAAATAGCATATTTGTGCAGAAATATATGTATTCCAGTACTTTGTGTTCAATATCAAAATGCATTAGGGCAATTTTTAAAGGTGTTTTTTTTCTAGAACTCATTTATAATCATACATTATTGATAGAATTGATGAAGTTATTTTCTGCATTTGTTCTTATATTTGGTACCTGTGAAACATACAGTTTTAAACTATTTTCTGACACTTTAGCATATATAAAATATTTCAGCTGAAATACTTCCTTTAAATGTAAGAACACCAAAAGGGCCAGTCTAAGAAAAAAAAAAATCAGAATTAATGAAGCCTATTT